CTTCTTTGCAAAACCAACGTTTTGACATGTGCATAAAGTTATTTCGCGCAGAGTACATCTGTGGGCGTAATTACACACACTGCGTCGCCATCCTCGCATGTCACCAAGTCCCCATGTTTAGTTCAAACCAAAGTTGGCGCTCCGTATTGCCGTCGACAGAGAGATTACACACTCGCCATCAGGTATGGTGCATCTATCAACCGCTCCACCCCGTCCTTGATCTTCCATCTTGAATTAGCTCTACGACCTCGGGGGCAATCCTTCCGAGAGCCACAACACTCGAAGTATCACAACAGGGGGTGTCGAAAGTCGACAACACTGTTCGGAGTTCCGCAGCGTGGTGGCATAGGAGTCCCATGAACAGTTTCAACTGTTCTCGAAACGAAAGTACACGGGAGCAGTATGACGAGAAGCGTGTGCACGTTGGTGTAGAGAAAATGTCGGCATGATGGCACACCTCGTGGCAAACTGTACGATTCTATGCACTGTCATGGACACTAGGTGTACTCGATTCTTGCAGGAGTGCTTCCTCCAAGGGCGTGGTCGGGCCTACTTCGTGTGCTTGCAACAGGGACGGCTAATCATAGGGCCAAAATGGATGGCTGTAGAGCGTGCTCCGTTAACTTATTTTGGGATGCACCAGTCGAATTGCTGCAATTGATGTTCTCAGCCATCATGACGAGACTACGTTGACATGGCTCCACATCCCCAGGTACATATACGAATCCAAAATGCCCTCCCCCCGATGCATCTTGTTCAGTTCATCCTCGCAGACACGTCCAGTTGGGGGAGTGCGCAATCTTGCAAGGATGGAACATAAAGAGGGTTGCGACAACGGATTAACAAACAACATGTCGCTGTTGTGAACTCAACAATGGCCGGGCTCTCGTGGATAAAATTAGACCACCGCAAATACACATCAAGCAGGGCGAAACGTGAAACCATGCCGTTCATTTTGAAACTTGCGTCGTTCAGCACCCACCACAACACACACGATGGGAGGAGCTGTATCTGTCGAACACGCCGAGATCATCTACGTAGCCGAAGACGGGTCCATCGGGCTCGCCGAGCCCTTCGCCGCTCGATACGAAAACGACATGCCATTCCCCATCAAACGCCCCGTCGTGACTCGCCAGCACGAAGCCCTCATCAAGGCAAACTGGTCGGCCATCTGCCAGGGCACGTCTGCATTCGACGCGGCCAAGCACCTCACGCCCACCAAGTTTTTCTACCGCACGTTCTACAACCACCTGTTCGAGCTCGCTCCGTCGCTGCGCCCGATCTTCCGGTCCAGCATGACCGTCCAAGGCAAGGCGTTGGCAGGCATCATCAAGACCCTCGCCACCGTCATCAACGGTGCCAATATCGTGGGCGCGACCCATGGCCTGGCCCAGGGCCACCTCAAGTACGGGGCCAAGAAGGATCACTACACGGTCGTCGGGCAAAACTTGCTCCGCACGCTCGAAATCGTGAGCGGGGACAAGTGGACCGAAGAGATCAAGACAGCGTACCTGACAGCGTACAGCCTCATCTACTTTGTCATGCTCCCAGTGCTTCTCAACAACGAGCCGTCCGAGATCACGGAGAGCCTGCCCGCGACGATCTCCAAGTCGGAGGCGGTGTCGGCCACGGCGAAGCGCCTCACGCTCACGTTCGACTTTCCCCTGCGCTTCCACCCCGGCGATGCCATCCTGCTCGGTCTGCCCGTCGCCGAAGGCCAGGAAGAGCGCCGCCACTACACCATTGCGTCCATCAGCATCCAAGGCACCAACACGTTTGACATTGTCGTGGAAGACGCGAGTCCGTCGTCGCACTGGCTCGTGTCCCAGCCGGCCGGGACTACCGTCAAATTGTTCTGGGTCGAGTCGAACGTCCGGTTCGAGATCGACTCGCCCGAAGTGCTGCCGACGAACGTGCTGTTTGTGAGCCACGGCGTCGGGTGCGTGCCGTTCCTAGTCATGCTCGAGGGTCTGTACCGCATTCGAGAGACGTTCCACGGCTCCGTCGTGACCCTTCAAGTGGCCCCGAACCAGGCGGACGTCGAGGGGTTCAAGTCGGTCGTGACGTCAACGGGAAAACCACTCGAGTGGGAGTCGAGCTCGTTCCACTACGCGCCGGCCGTGTCCGCCGACAAGCTCAAGGACATCGCCCCCAACCTCGCCCACAGCAACCTGTACGTGTGCGGCCCGGCCGACTTTATTGCGACCACGCAAGACGCGTTTGTGGCAGCGGGAGGGTCCAAGGACCGCATCACAGTCTACTCGTTCGACAACTCCAACGTAGGCGCACTCAAAATTGAGTAATGTAAAAGCATTATGGTTTGCACGTGGGATTGTTTGAATTCAGGAGCGATGGTATGCTTGTCGTGCTCCCGTTGTTGCCCGTGACGCCGTCTACTCTCGTTCCAAAGGGAACGTGCTGTCACGGGTATGCCAGGGGACGTTCATTGCAGAAGGGGGACGGTTGGCCTCTGAAGAAGACTTTTGTTGCAAGAGCATAGCTAGGGTGGTCGGTGTCCACTATTCCAGAGGCTGCATTGAACGAGACTAGCCCTTCGCGTGATGATCACCTTACAGGTCGTCAACATGCCGGCCTTTGTATTGGATCACCAAGTCTTCGGAGAACGAAGTTGGTGCAGCAGTCAGCATAGCTCCACGAAAGGATTTTAGCCCGGAGGATGGCGTGTATTACGTGACGACGTTGAGCGATTGCACTCTGCACCAGGCGATGGCGTCGTGAAAGCAATCGATTGGGGAGTCGCACGCGATCTTCATGCCCATCGCGAGCGACACGGCCAGCGACACGATGGGGTATGCTATATACACGACAATGGGCCTCCAGTTCATGTACAGCGTCCAGCGACGTCGACCATCTACGGAGGGTACAGTCAGCAGCGATACACGTGATGATAGAAAGGAGAGTACCCAAAGCAAGCATGGACCCCACGCAATAGTTGAACCCGACGAGCCACAGCACGTGAGGCAGACGTAACAACACGTGCTGCCACGATGCCCTACATGACGAGTTAGGCGCTTTCCTGGACCAGTGGCAGCTTTACCGAAACGTGTACAGAGCGGCGCCACCCAGGATGGCCACGCCCCACAACGACAGGTTTAGGTAGGAAAACACGGAGAGGAGGAGCAGCGCCAGGACCATGACGGATGCCACCTGCGCTCCGTACATAGCTTTGCATCCGAGTCTAGAAAGGAAAAGTCAGGTCGAACAACGAACCAAGTCGACAACGTACACAGAAAGATGCGTCGGTGTCCAGTAGGATTGTCGAACATCGCACGTCGACGACAGCCATTCCCGCGATGTCACAGCGTCCCAGAATACGAGCGCCATCACGAGAATCACCACCACCATGTTCAGCACCAGAACGTGCCGGACAAGCGCCCACTCTTCATGAACACGTAGAGCGAGGAACTTGGCATTCGCAGCGGCGGTCTCTTTTGCGTCCTTCTCGGCCTGCTTGAGTCTTTTTGCAGTGAGTTTACGTTCCAGTTTGGCTGTGGCGTCCTGGAGTTTCCGTTGATACTTGGCTTCGTCGCGCTCGCGCTTGGCCTGGACGGTCAATTCAAACTGACGTTGGCGTTGGTCGAGTGTTTCGAGGTGCATCTTCCTTTCCTATTTGTTGTCCACAAAACTTGACAAGAGGTTCGTGCCGACGCTGCCTACGTACATGTAGCATGATGCGGTCTGTGTTGAGCTTGTGGAAGGCGAGGGCATTGTCTTGCAGAGCTCGAGTTTGCGCCATTTGCATTTGCAGCACGTCATGCAAATCCATCCCACGCTTGTAACCTGGGTCACGTTGGACGTCGGTCCTTTCTTCGACGTCATTTCCAAGAGACCGTGGCAATGGCGACGCCGGTAGCTGCGCCAACACCATGGCCTGTTGCTCGATGTGGTGGTCAGCACGAGTTTGGACGAACAGTTCAAGCTGGTAGAACTCGTCCTGGTCCCATTCTTCTCGCTTGGCTTTCTTCAGCAGATCCGACATTTGATCTAGCACGGAAGGCTCCATCGATTTCGACGACGATACCACCACGATCGACGACTCTGCTCGTTGCTTCAGCTTGTACAACTCGAACAGCGTCGCCTGCTGCAGCTCAAGGTTACGAAGATTCCTCTGGTACCATCCGTCGGGCTCATTTACTTCTACTTCCGAAAGTCCCAGAGAAATCCATAGGTCCTTCAGCCGCTTCCAATCGTCCAATTGCATCCCATTGCGGTGTTTGGACGCCTCGATGGCGGCTTCGATTTTGGAACGAATCGTCACATGCAGCTTCGCCATGTGGCTCTTCCGTGCGCGCAGCGTCTCGAGGTGGCTTTCGATTGCCCGTTTACGGTCCTTCGGCACAGGAACATCTTGAGCAGCCAAGGTCGCCACCAACGCCTCGCCCTTGGTTACAACCGTCGCCATGTGCTCCAGCAAGCCTGCCACATTCGTCGGGTCTTCTTCCTTCGTCACTCGATTCACTATCATCCATCGGGCATGATCAAACTCTTTGTAGTACGTCTCGGCGGCGAGATCGTTCGCCACCCTCAGAAACTCCATCAGACGAAGGTGCAGTGAGGCCGCCGCGTGGAACTCGGCGTTGGTGGATTCCGCAATCGCCTGACGAACAGCGGCGACGTCTACCAGGCGATAGACGTGGCGGATCGAGTCCTCGACAGCGCGACGAGTCCGAACAATGGAGACGATGCGACCGATGATGGCGACCACAATGACACCTGCAAGAAGAATGGCTTGGACAGCAATGGATACGTCGCGGATTTGGTCGGGAGAGAGCACAATCGCGTCCGGAATGGCGACAATGTCCAATGTGCTGGGGACGACTGGTACGAACGGCACCGTCATGTCTGCCATGAAGGAAGGTCCTGCGATCTCGCGATGACGCTCAAATCGAGGACGAGGAGAAACCTACCACTACCGCCATCTAAAGAACCACGATGTGCCTGGTCACGCAGATCGGTGCCCGAAATGTCCGTCGAGTAGATCTGAATCTCGTCATCTTGTGAAGGCGACCCTACTGAATGTCGTCAGTCCAAGCGAGATCAGATAAACCGACCAACGTCGTGTTCTGTGAACTTGTACTCATTCACTTCATCTCGTAAGATGTCGTCGGTGGCCTGTGCAGTCGCCATGCATGCCAGCGCCGCCGCAGCGGCATCACCGACAAATAACCGTCGACGCATCATGACGAATTTTGAAAATTTGTGTTTTGACCAATAAAATGCGTGTAAATGTACATGATCCAATCAAATTGCTGTATTTTCTTTCTACCTCGTGCTGCGCGAAGGGCCGAGCGACCCTGCACCATGGCCGAAGTCGAGCGGATCCTGAAAGCGCGGTAGGGGCCGCCTCCCGCGGTGCGTCCTGAGGAATTTATGCGACCCTAGGACATATTACCATGTTATGGGATTCCATGTGGTGCAGTATGTGGAGCAGGCGGACGTGCGGAGGTACTGTCCATGCATCCAGCTGAATTGTGTTGGCGATTGCTCATACATTCCAAGGCAGTACAAAGCCCTCGCGCGACAAGTCCATCCGGACAAGTGTCCCCACAAAGGTAGCGATGGACGTGCTTCTCGTGCAAGGAACAGTCATGTGTTGCCGCTGTAGACGCCGAGGATGCATTCAAACGATTGAGTGCGGCGTACGAATGCCTTGCCAACGACACATTACAGAACGAGTACTTGGCCAAGACGACCGGATCGAAGAAACGTCCCCGACAACCCTCCACGAGAGCTACGGCAACTCGACCATCCCCCCCGACAACTTCGAAACCCACCCGCCCAAAGACACCGCGCACAGCCGACGACATTTACGCAGAATTTTTGCGGGAAGAGGAACGCCAGGCCGAGATGGACTTTCACAAGCGCGGCTTTGAGCGCATCTTCGACCCCATCGATAAACCACGTCCGTTGTCGCCGCCACCAGTGCATTCGGACGAGTTTGTCGCCGACGTGTTGTCCAGCGGCCTGGACATGAAGCAGACCAAATGGTCCCAGTTCGCGTCATCGAAAGCCAAGGCAACGACACCGTCCGCGTCCCCAGTGCCAAATGATTCGGCGTGCTGTTTGCTCTGCCGCCGCAAGTTTCCAAGCGCTGCCCACTTGGCCCGTCACAAAGCGGAATCGAAATTGCACGCTGCCAACGTCGCAAAGTTACCATGAAAGCTATTGTAATTTCAACCACTCCTTGAACGCCTTCACAAAGCCGAGCTCCACAAAGTCGTGGAAAGTCTGCTACGTTGCCGCGAGGGTGGAGTCAAACGATGCGTTTGACGGCAAACACGGTGTTGCAATGAAGAAGACGGCCCTTTTTGCATCATGTCATGTAGAACTGTCGGCGGCATCCTCACCCCATCCCACCACGCCGTCGATACGCACCGATGTGCCGCGACAGGTGTGGTGCGCGATGGATTTCAGAGCAACCCAGGTCGATCTTCCACCCGCAGATGCGACGAGCCAAGCCATGCGTGGTCTGGGCTGAGTCGCAAGAGGACTCCACCAACGACAGGAGCACCCTCGTCCGACATGATGGACCTGTCAAGATGGCAAACTATTTATTGGTATGGTACATGCATCAAGGGCGTCCCTTACACCCCCAACGAACGCTCGTGGACGTGGAACCGGTCGAAATCGACGGCCATGCCGCCTTCCGGCGAAAACTCGGCGCAGTCGGCGAAATGGTCGCCCACGACAAAGTCCTCGGACGTGTACATCTTGCGCGCGTACACGTTGGTGGAGAACGTGTGGTCGATGCCCGAGTAGAGACACAGCATCTGGACGTTGCACTCGAGAAAGTCGTCGATCGATTTGAACTTGGCAAACGGCGACGCGCTCGTGATGACATGGACAAGCGTAGCGGGGACGTTCATCGACGGGTACGTCATATTGACGAGGTCGACGTCGTGGACTTGGCGCAAGTTGGTGTGCTTGTTCACTTCGGTCACGCCAACCCTAGATCATAATGGTCAGCCAGACCCCGTCAAGCGATGCCGTACCGAAACGCATTGCCCGAGATGTTGCCATGGGTCCGCAGGTTGAGTGCCCGCACCAGGAGCACGCGCGTGCCATCTCGAACGTGCGTCACAACAGCCTTGTTTGAAAACTCAATGTGCGCCCGCGGCCGAGAAAACTTGGACCACGAGATGCCCGTGAAGATGGTGATCACGACAATGCCAAGCGTCGACTCGACCATGATCCAAAAGTTCTGGTACGTCGACGACGACTTTGGCCCGATCGCGCCATACCCGACCGTCGACAGCGTGTGCACGCTATAGTAAAAGCACACGCCAAAGTCGGTGTTGTTGTTGCGGATATCGTCGTACACGGAGACGCCGTCCATCTAGGGCCACACGATCAGTTGCAACGGCAGGACAAGCAGCGCGTACGTCCAAGTAATACACGAACGCAAACAACACGTTGAGCGCGATAAACGCGACGAAGCTGTACCCGATGATCCACGGCCAGCTCGTCTTGAGTGCTTCCGTGTAAACCGTGTGAAACGAAAACGGAAGCGGGACGTGGCGGGGCAAGATGCGATCGAAATGCGGCGCGTTCTCCACATTTGCTGCCGACGACACGACCGACGCGCGGCGATTCGGGCTATGGACAACTGTCGGCATCTCATGGAACAGGAGGCTCTCGGTGAGCTCGTCCGGCGTCCGGCGAGACGTGCGACTGGGTCGAACGGTCGAGGGCGGCTCGCACGGGGGCATGTCGACAACGTGGTGGGTGCCTGGCGACCCGGCGTACTGGGTACCCATGGTCGCCGCCTGGTCCACGAGATCCCCCCCCGTGGTTTGCATAAATTCGTCCTTGATGGAGAACTGGCAAGACTTTGCGTACGTCAACTGCCGCGGCGGGAGGACGGGTAGCATCGGCGACCCTGTCGTGTACGGGGACGCTCCAGTGTCCAGGGCAGCCGATGGCCGCCGCGGAGTGGTCACGTGCGCTGGGACGGTCGTGCTGAGCTGGTCAAAGTCCATCACCCACTGCTCGTTGCCAGGCACCCCCTCGACCTTGCACATGTCCTGGAACTTGGCTCCCCACTCGACCTGCAGCGCAGAGTACAGCATCTGGCACTGCACGGTGTTTTGCGTGGTCGAATCGACGCCGACGAGATCGACTTGAATGGCAAAGTCCGATGCGGCCAGCGTCGTTTCCGTGAGGCGTCGGAGAGGGCTGCGCTCATCGATCACATGGACAAGCTGGATGTCACGGCGAATCGCGAGGAAATCCGCTTGAAGCGTGGGGAGGTCATACCGTCGCAGCACCAGCGTCGAGTCAGTCCCGGACCGCTCCTCGATGCGCAACAAGTTGACGCGGAACGACGCTTCGAGGATCGAGTCTTGGTGCAGATGGCGGCACCGGGTCGCGTTGGCGACGCGAACGACAAGCGCGAGGTGGTGGCTGTAAGGCTGGACAACGCACTTGCTTGCGAATACGACGGTCGCGCGTGGCTTGGAGAAGCGCACAAAGACGAGACCGCTGATCGCCGAGAGAAGAATCATCGACACGAATGCTTCCATCGACAGCGCAAGATTCCCGCACGCGTTGCGCGGGTACAAGATGCCAAATCCGATCGTCGAGTACGACTGGTAACTCAAGTTGAACGCGTCTTCAAACACGTCCGTGTCAACGCAGAGAAAGTGAAACACGAGCGCAAACACGACCGTGATCAAGGCAGAGAATCCCAAGATGCACGCTGTGAACCATGCCCACGACATATTGATCAAAATGTACACAACGTCCTTGAACGTCGACCGTGGGTTGTGCACGAGGTGGTGCCGCGAGTCGAGGAAGCTCGAGTTCGCGGTCATGGTGTCGAAGAACCGAACGTGCTTGTTGCCACCGCTCGGCATCGCCTCGACGCGCACGCCGTGCCATTCGTCTCTCCACGACCCGACCGCGTCAAAGTGCGTCGCCGGCGGCGTCGACGTGGCCGCCGATGGCATGTGGTCGAATAATTGGTGATAAAAACCGACGATCTTTCACTGGCTGGATATATATCAAAACCACTCTGGGTACAGTTGGTGCTCTGGACGACGTGTCATGGCGGTGGCTTGGCTTGGCATGATGCGCGACCGGAAGGCACTTGCTTTGCTGGAACCCCAGCACATGACCGATCGGCAGGTATTCCAACCGAGTCGAGGAAGGAGTCCCTGGCGTCCAAGAACGTGCCGTGCGAGATCTCTAACGTATTGCTAGTGGCACGCCTGTGTCGGCGGTACCAGGGCTGAACGTCGCAAAAGGCCGTCCAGCCATCGAACCAAGCGCATCCTCCATGGATCCCGCCCACTCTCTGTCCCAACAAAGTGTATATACACTTGAAGTTTGGATTTTGACATTAAGTGACCAGTCCATCGGAATGTCGCAAGTGTAGCTCTGCATTCATGCAAAAGTTCATCGCATGGATATCCCGACACGGCGGACTACGTCGCGCCCTTCCAATCCAACACGACGATGCGGCCCAGGTCATCCCCGAAGGCCAGCCGCGGCACGCGCGACGGAAGAATGTCAAACCCATGGATCGGCTGGAGCTCGGCGTTTGCGTACACTCCAAGGACGGCGCCGTCGGTCAAGCTTGTCGCGATCAAGTGCCCATCTTCCGCACACGAAAACACAATGTTGAGGTCGGGTAAGACAGCAATGCCCGTGATGTTGGTCGCGTCTGTGTGGGGTGGTTTTAGCGTGATCACCGGCGATTCCAACGCATCTCGTCGCCACACTTGCAAGTTGCCGCGTCCAGCACACAATGCGACCATGTCAAACGACGGCGTGAATCGGTAGCACCGAACGCCCCCTTGGACTCGGATCGAGAACGCCATCGTCCCTGCAGCCGTGTCAAATACCGACAACTGATCGAGGCTTGCCAAGCACGCCACGAGGTCGCCAGTCCTCGACATCTGCAGGGCCATCCCGCCCATGCGGACGGCCTCCTTGGCCATGCCCGCCATCTCCCACACGACAGTCCCATCGTCCCGCCGAATATATCGCAAGTGTCCGTGGTACTGGTCGTCCAGTCCGAGCGCCGCCACAAACTGCCCCGACGGATGCAGCGCCACGTCAATCGAGTCGTACTTGAACGTGTCGAAGAACGTGGTAGTGACTTGGTCGTTGTGGACTTCACCGACGCAGATCGCGCCAGTGTTTGTGGTGGCAGCTACATACCGCCCCTCGTCGCCGCCCGCTCCTTTGTTGTACACGACTCGCGTGCATGCGGTCGACGTGTTTTTCGTGTTGACAAACTCGTACACGAGCATGGACGGGTTCTTGACGTCCATGACGCGGGTCTTTTCCGCGCACGAGTGGCAGGCGGCAACTGCGTCGCCCGTCGGGTGCAGCGCGATTGTCTCGACCCGGCCGGCGGCGCCAAGCGGAGCTGGTTTCGAAGCTGGGTTCCACAGCAACACGTTGTTGGTTTGGCCGAGCGTGGCAATCATGGTCCCGTCCAAACTCATCGACATGTTGCCGCCAAAACTGTGGCCGGGGGCTGCATAGATGGCCAGCCGGCGCTCCGACACAACGTCGAACGCATACACTTGCGTGCTCGAGTTGAACACGTACAGAATGGATGGATGGTTCGGATGGAACTCGATCCCGCACACTTCCATCGCACTCCCCAACAAGTCGAGGTACTCCATGATGAGAGACTTGGGGTGGTCGAATGCTTTGCCAAACACTTGCGCACCCTGGCCGTTGTACGTGTCGACATTCACCGCTGTCACGAAAGACGATTCCACCACGTTAGAGCGAGACGTCGAAGCGGCGCGTACCCAGCATCGTGGCGTCGCTGGACAAGCTGGCGTACTTCACGCCTTCGGCGGCCTCGAACGTCGCTTCCTCATGCCATGTTGCGCAGCTCCAAATGCTTCGTCGTGCAAGACAACCGCCATGTGATTCCATGACCCCGAAATGTCGACAGGGATGGTCCTACCTGCACGCGCCGCTGTATGATGCAACTCCCATGTGCTGCCGGTCGGGGCTGAGCAAAATCTGCGTCATCTTCTTGGAATCATTGTGGTCGTCTTCGCCGTGGCCTTGAATCTTCAACGTGCGATGAATCGTGCCATTCTCCCACACGTGCAGCTCGGGGCTCGTGCGGTCGGCGGTCACAATTGTCGTGGCATTTACACATACAACGCTAGTGATTCGGTGCTTCTTCTTCTTCTTGAGTGCAGCATGGAGAACCTTCGTGCGGACACCGATGGCTTCCGAGAAAAGATGGAGTTCCCCAGATGCTGACGCGCCCACGATGACCGACGTGCCGTCCACACTCCACGTGACACTGTCGTACTTCACGTCTGGCTCGGCCACAGTCCACATGACTGTGTTTGATACCACGTCAAACACGGTCAAGTACACAACCTGGCCGCAGTCGGGCTCGGAAAGAGCCGCAACTTTCAGGCTGTCCGGGCTAAAGGCGACAGCAACTGTGCTGTCGGCGCCGTCGGATGCTGGCCCGACCATGAACGATGCCATGATCGAACTCGCGGGCGTTTCCGTGCTAACGACTTGAAAGTACCCTTGAGGCGGCGGAGTCAACTTGGCAGCGGCCGTTGTACGCAAAAACGAAGCCTTTGGGTGGCGCATCACGACTTGGTAAAACGACGAGGGGTGGCGCTGCAACGTAAACATGTCACGGCTTAGGAATGCCGCCACTTGGGGCAAGATGGTCGGGGGCACGTCCGCTGCGTACATGGCTTGAATGGCGCGGCGAATGTCGCTCAGGGTGTCAGCGATGGCACCGAGGGCGACGCTTGCTTGCAGGAACTCGACATCACTCACGACATACTCGACGCGAGGCCAGTCCTGTGCTCCGATGAGTGCCGACGGGAGTTCGGTCACGCGTCGGTGGTTGAACTGGACGCCACGGGACGATCCTGGCAAGACCAGCTCCTGTGGGGCAACTTTGCGTTGGGCTCGGCCCGCCGGGACTCCGTTTTTGTCGACAAATGGCTTGGCGACGTGGGCATAGTCGCTGGCAAAGAAGGCCGCCAAGTTGGCCGACAAGGACGTCACCACAGCATCGTCGCCAAGGCAAATCGCGCGCGCCGCCACGTTGAATTCACGATGGTACCAGCTCAAGACGGGAATGCCACCGTCCGCGGCGTGTGTGACGAGGTAGCTGTCCAGATCGGAAAGAAGTCGAGTGACAACGAGGCTGGGAATCCGCCGGATGGGAGGCACCCACCACTGGTACACGTCGTTCAGTACGTCGTCATCCAGACTAAGCACGTCTTCGAGCTCGGACCGCGACAGACCGCGCTTGGCGAGCGTCAAGTACCCCGCCGTGTGATGCACCAAGAGCTGACCGTGAACCCCGCAGAGCTTGTGAAACAAGTGCCGAAGGAGATCGGGAATTGTCGGCGGGAGAAGCGCTGTATCGACGGGGGTGTACGAAGTCCACGGCAAAGCCAGCGTGAATGCCACGTGCAAATACAGCGGCAGCGGACACTGCACAAAGGAATCGACGAGAAACCTGGATTGATGGGGGGTCAGTGCTCGGTTTCTGGCGGCGAGCCATGCCGTCATCATGTCGAGGCCGTCGGCACTTGTCATGACGGGTAACTCGAGCAAGTGGTCCGTGGGGGTTTGGGCACGGAGCTTTGCAAGACAGTTGCCGCCTTCGTCAGCCGCATCCAGCGCCGACACGACCAGTTTACAGTGCGGTGGCAACGACATCGGCAACCACGTCAAGTGGTGGGCGTTGTCGGCACTGGAAAGTTGGTCCAGCGAGTCCAAGATCACCACGAGCGGCTTCGTTTCGGATGCCAGAGCCAAGAGGTCATGAAAATGTCGGATTAAGTCGTCCAAGCCTGGAGGGATCGTGGCCGACATGCCGTGCGTGGTCGAGTAATTGCGATGTATCTGGGAGCAAATCGACGTGAGAAGCTTTCGGATGTCGGTCGAGTCCAAACTGGTCCCGAGAAATCGCAGTACGAGGACGGGGTCATGCCGCGGTGTCAGCACCGCAGCCAAGCCAGACCCCGCGGCCACCGCCGGACCTCCACCGCCAGTCAACTTCATGGCAACCTTGGCTACCACCGCGCTCTTCCCGGCGCCCCCTCGACCATACAACACAAACGGACGGTTCTCGACAGTCGCTGATCGGAGGTACGCGTGAACTTTGCTCAAAATATCGGCCCTTCCAACGAAATTCGCACTGCGCTGGGCGCAAAAGAGCGCGTGGTGCATGACCTCATTGAACACGGCGTCTGGTGCCACGTTGAGCTGCTCCGACGCGGCCAGCAACGACTCGCACATGTGCGAGCAAAAGTGATCGCAAAAGTCTGTCAAGTACGTCGCATGGGTCTCCGGGAGGATCTCGGGACCCCACGGGACGGTGTATTCTTTCGCGCCGTGTTGCTTGGGCTTGACCTTTGTGTCTCGAAGCGTTGCTAGCAACGCCTGTGCTTCGTCGTCGATTTGACCTCGCCCGGCCATGTCGACATACATCCCAGCTTTGCCATGACTCGAGTCGATATCAGGAATGATCCGGTGGTACACAAAGGCGGCTGTCTTTGCATCCGCGGCAGTCAAGAGGCCATGCATGACTTCGCACTCTGTCACCGACACGTTGTAGAGGTCTTGTCGATGCGGATCGGACACAACGTGGCGAACGTTGCGAAAGGCGCGCTGCATTTGTTCAAAGATGGGCCACCATGTCCCAGGGGCGGCGAGCGTCGACGGCTGCAGCTCCATCGCGGGAGGGATAACATTCGTGTTGATGCGGAACCAGTGGCGGACCACATCGGCGTCCGAGGTAGCCATCGTCGCGACCAGCGCTTCAAACTCGTCGAGCGGGATTTGATTTGGGAACGGTCGATAGCCGTACTTGTTGCCAAGGATGAGGACGTAGTTGAGGCCAAGGGACGATGTTTGGCACCGAGCGAGTTCGGCCATGCAAATCGCCGACGTCTGGTGCGAGTTGCTGGCTTCGTCGCGGATCCCCCACCTACGAAAGAACGTTTTGTCACGTGCTTGGATCGGTGTGGTGGTACCGCATTTCCGACGCCGAGAATTCGAGCCCCAAGAGCGCGGCGTATCGCTTCAAATACGGATACACATCGGCAATGAGCAAGTTGCGCTCCGACGCGGTGTCCGTGAACGTGGATGAGACAAACACACTGATGGCTTTGGGTTTCTGAACGATATCGCTGGCGACGAGTTTGCCTTGAAGGACTCGACCGACGAGGGCCTCGTCTAGGTCCTTGCTCGTTTGTGGAGGTCGCACAGCGAGCTTTTCCTTCCATTCGTGTCGAGTGTCGCGTGATGTGGGCCACAGAGTCGATTCGAGCGTACGCAGTTCGTCGACGCCATCCGTTTGCGCGGGGGATTTGACCAAGCATTCCAGTCCGTGGAGCTCGTGGATGGCGTCGTCTGGCACGTCCGTTGTGGCATCCGCTGCATTCGGACGTGAGTCGTCCGAGTCGTGGCGAAACCCCATACCTGGCGCGTGTTCCGGGTGAAAGTACAGCTCGTACTGGCCGGCAGCGCCAATGCGATGGACGGCTGGCGTCGTGATCAAGTCCCATTTCACAATGCAGCACTTGTCTGGGCCATGATACGGGCGATGGTTCTCCGCATGCACTGCCAAAAGCACCATTGGTAAACCTCTCGACGAGAAGCGATACCTGGCGGTGCATCTGGGCACTTGTACGCAACGACGGTGCCGGGGTACCCATACACGCCATCGAACGACGACGTCACAGGCCAGTGCAGACCGCGAACAACTCTGGCACCGAGCGCCACGTTGGCAGGCGTAACGACCACGCGCTCCACTGCATCCAGTGTGAAAGCCACACAGCGAGAGGCACAACGAAGCCACGTACATGACGGCGTCAATTTCGTCCCATACACGTTGAAGTGGTAGATGGAATAGCCGTAGGTCGTCCCGCGCGCATGGCCATACATTCGAATGAACGTCGCATGGGCGTCTTCCGAGTCGGGCAACTTGGTCTTGACCCATCCGTCGCCGCGATTGTCGGCAACCGACGCCACCGTCGTCCACGCGAGGCGGTCTTTGGACACTTGAATGTCGTACGTCGCCGCATACGCCGCCTCCCACTGGATGCACACATGGGAGATCTTGTGCAGCGCCCCCAAGTCGACTTCGAGCCACTGGGGATCGCTGTCGGCCGACGCAAACCTCGTCTCGTCATCGCCGTCAACAGCAAACTTTGCATGGCTGTCTTCGTTTTCCATGGAGCTGCCCGACGCGACCTTGCCGCACGAAATGTTTTCCAGCCCTACCCCACAACGATGACTACATGGTAACCTCCATCATCGGCACCTTCGCTGTCGTCGGTTTGGTTGGCATTCGGGTTATCGTCGTCGTACTGACTCCAGTCGACGGCACTCGTCGCCGCAGGGTGAACGCTGTTCAAAGCAGCAGCGCTTGGAAGTGCCCCAAATACAGGAGCAAGTTTTTGCAGGGCGCACAAAACACACAGGTCAAAGCAACAGGACCTAGTAGCGATCACGTGAGGTGCGTCCAACTCGTTCGTTCTGTTGTACTCGCAGTGGTAGGAGCAATATCCTGGCATTCTGCAGAGGTCGCACTGCACGATCTGGTAGTTGGCATGGAGTTGGTTGAGCTCGGGAATGCTGAGGAATGTCAGCGTGTGCGGGTGCTGCGAGTGGTCGATCTTTTTCGGAGGTAAATCGGTGCCAGAGCAGTCGCCACATAGGTCGAACCCGCATGCTCTACAGGCAAGGCATGAACGACTGAAAACACAAGCGCCACGTACGCGCAGTGCCAGGCACCAGCACACGAAGCAGCGCACACGTTGCAGCCGGCCCCGCCAACATAGCACCGATTTTCTTGGCACAGCGTCGCAATCGACGACGGCACGAGCGGATGCTCGTGGTGCTGCGACTCGAGGGTCTCCATCATGACCCCGAGAAATGGAATTGTGATGGCGGCGACGTTTTGGGTGGTAAACAGTTACAAAAGACGACCCGATCGAAACGAAAACGCCCCGCCATGCCAAGCAAGCGTCAAATACGGTCACATTGTTGGGCGGCGCACACGGCGGACATCGACAGTTGCCGCATGGCGTTGTTGCATCGATGGCCTGACAGAGTCGGGGGGAAGGTCCAAAAGATGCTAGTGCTTTCCAGCCCATCGACCGGTTTGGAGCCTGTGTCTGACCACTTCGGCAGACTGGACAGCAACTACGTCGATCAGGTCATGCCATGGGGCCCGAGCAGAACCAGCCGCATGAAGCAAATGGCATGCTCGTGCACGCATCCCTTCAAATTCTTCTCGACGTGCCCAATGTCCAGATGGATGACGTGCTTTAGCTGGTCGAGTCTAGGTCGCCTAATGGAGCACGTGCCAGGCGACAACGCCATGTGTACGCTGTCGTATGGAAAGAGCCATCTACTTCTCTCCGAAGAAACGGAGCAGCAGGTGAAGGAGAAAGAAAGTTATGGCGACTATCGCACCGCTGGCACTGGCGACGACCGCCGTCCATTTAAACGGCCACGACGAAGTGGACCATGTGGAAGGATTGGATTCGAAATGGATGTCGGAAATGCCATCCACACTTGGAACGTCGAGCGTCGCAGTGATGGCCCAGTGGTCAGATAGATGCGTGAATGGCCACGGATGCACCCCAACGATGCTATCGTCGGCGGCGCCATGATCGATTGCAGCATGGACGATGCTCGTCGTACTAGGGCCAAGGAGGAACAAGTAGTCGATGCACTTGCCCACTTCGTCGACGCGGGCTTTTGGCCACAAATGGGACAGCACTCCATGGCCGTTGGCGTTTGTGACATCGTGTGCAGATGCCAGGACGTTCGCCACTGCCGCGGCGGTGTCCGGCGTGCCACTGCATGCGCTCGACAGGAGTCGGACGAGACGCCTGTACCCCTCGCTTTCATTGCACTTGGTGAAAATGGGCTTTGCGTCGCCTGCAAACTGGACGTTGTGCCGCGCGTCCAAGTTGAAGTCTCCACCCAAAATCGCTGGAGTGCATGGAGTTCGGTTCGTGTGGACAAACCAGGCGAGCTCTTCGAGTTGCCGCCACCGCACTGCAGTCGCGACTTGTCCATCGCCGGCTTGCGTGTGCGTCGTAAAGACATCAAGGACATGCTGAGGCGAACCACCGAGTTGAATCTGGGCATACACGACGCCTTTGGCGGCGAGGGCGTCGCTGCCACATCCATCGGTAAATTGGTGCGTCTTGGACAGGCGGATGGGATACCGACTGAGGATGAGCACGCCGCCATCGACTACTTGTCGGCTCCACAGCGACGGATACACGGGCGCCGCATGATAGGCCAAGCCGTGCTCTTTTGCAAAGGCCAGCAAGCGCTGCAGCCTCGACGATCCAACAGCAAACATTTCTTGGAGAAGGACGATGTCAAACTGCACGACCTTGCGCATGATGAGCTCAAGACGGACATCCTTGTGGTCACTGCCGCTTTCTTGGACTCCCGGTGGCCGCAGGAACACGTTCCAGTTCAGCACGCGCACATGCATCAAGATCGATTCGAACCCGTTGCGGCGCCGATCTGTTTCCAAAACCCAAAATTGGTGAATACATCGGTTGAACGCCCATTCCAGACTGAATCGAAAAGCAAGGCCAAGATGACCAGCACGTTGTTCCTCGGGATCGAGCATCGCAAGCGCAGTGTAAGTTGGGCGCCGTGCAACGACAGCTTGGCTTCATGGTGCGATGCACGTGTATCAGGGACAACTGATGTCGACTGCGCCGCAGAAGGGTTCATTCGATGGCCACTGCAAGTGCATTAAATTGATGGATTCCGATTGCGAAAAAGATCCGTTTGAGCAGTTCGTCGGCACTTTGTCATTGTTGCGTCGCCAGTGAAGATGCGCCGCGGCGCCGGGTTCTTGTTTGCGGGTGTCGTCGTCATGGCCATGCAGGTGCCCGAGTTAAATCAAGACGTCCTCAACACTCATGTTGTCCCTGCGCCCAACGAAGTCGAGTTTGCGAAGCTGCTCGCCGAGAAGGACGTCGTGTTCGCCAAGGTGTTTGTGTCGATGGACGTGAGGCGGTGAAATCTCACGCGTTTCTAGTTTTATGCGCCGTGGTGCGGCCACTGTAAATCCCTTGGTCCTACGTGGAAGCAGCTGAGCGCGGCTTTCGCACGGATGGACAACGCCGCTGTCGTCCACATTGACTGCGACAAGCACCTATCGCTGTGCAATGCCCACGGCGTCGAAGGATTTCCCACATTGAAGCTGTTTCGCGGTCAACGATATGAGGAGTATGAAGGACAGCGGTCGGTCGCTGCCATGTCTGCCTTCATCGTCCAGCGAGTCGATGTCCCCATCGATCGCTTTGGCACGACTCCCATGGCCCCTCCGCCATCCCCCGTCCTGAACGCGCTCGTCGTCGTTGCCCTAACATTCTTGGGCGGATTCACCCTTTCCGTCTACGTGTTTTTCTTTCGCCCTGGCCGCAAAGCCAACCCCCCCGTCTTTTACTCGCAGCCAGACAACTCGACGGTTCGACCCGGCCATGGTGCGGTGTACAAAGTCGGATCCTTTCCAAGCCCGCAAGCGTCGCTGCTGGAGGTGCTTGAAGGCGCAGTGGCTTCGCATGGTAACGAACACTTCCTTGGTCGCCGCCGCTTTGATGCTGCGGGCCATGCCGGACCGTACGTTTGGGAGACGTACGCCGGTATCTACGACCGCATTCGCAACTTGTCTGCGGGCCTGCAGCATGAAAAGATGATCGAGCCATGCCCCGGCGACGGTCGCCGCCTCTTGTGCATTTACATGAAGAACAGTCCGGAATATGTGGTGGCGCAGTACGCCGCGTTCTACGCCGGTGGCGCGTTCTGTGCGCTGTACGATACGCTCGGGGCGTCCTCGACGGCATTCATCCTCCGCCAGACACAAGGTCCATTCTCCATCACGCAGCCTGCGTCACGATGCTCACGTGGCTACGTCTAGCGTCGACGGTGGTGTGCACCACATCCGAGCTCCAAACGATTGCCCACGTCAAAGCAAACGCGCCGACCCTTCGCCACATTGTTGTGAGCGACGTGGAGGTCAAGGCCCAAGCCGACATGGAACTGTGCACGCACGCAGGGCTGCAGCTCTGGACGGCGTTCGAGTTGGAGCAGCTTGGCGCGAAGCATCCTCGCCCCGCGTCGTACCCCAACGTGTCGGCGCTCAGTTTTCTCATGTACACGAGCGGCACGACCGGCGACCCGAAAGGTGTTGAAATCACGCATGCCAACATTTTGGCGTGTGCCCAAGGAGCGAAAGATCGATTGAATCGAGGCGACGGTGCCGTCTGCTTTACGCCACGCAGCACGCACTTGTCGTACCTGCCGATGCCCCACATCCTGGAGCAGATCGTGCAGTCTGTCATGATCTCGGCCAAAGGCAGCATTGGGTTTTATCAAGGCAATACGCTCAAGTTGACGGAAGACTTGGTCGAGCTCCGCCCGACGCACTTTGTGACCGTCCCGCGCCTCCTGAACAAGATCTACGACAAAGTCGTGCACGCCGGAGAGTCGGCCGGCGGCGTCAAAGGCTGGCTATTCAAGCGCGCGATGCGAACCAAGCTGGCCAACCTGAAGCGCGGCTACCTGTCGCATCCGCTCTACGACAAGCTCATCTTTTCCAAGGTGCGCAGCGGCGGGACGTGGGGCGTCGTTTCGTCACCTTGTGATTGTAGATTCAAGCCAAGCTCGGTCTTGATCGATGCCGGTTTGTTTTGACGGGTTCGGCGCCCATCTCGGACGACGTGATGTCATTCTTCCGCATCCTACTCGACGCGACGATCGCAGAAGGGTATGGTCAGTCCGAGTGCACCGGTGCGGCCACCCTGACGGACCACGAAGACGTCGTGTGCGGCACGGTCGGCGCTCCCATGATCTCGTCGGAAATCAAGCTCGTGTCGGTGCCAGACATGGGGTACCTCGTGACAGACTCCGTGCACGGAGATGGGACCAAGATGCCGGTCAACGGCCGCGGCGAGATTTGTTTCCGGGGGCCGACAGTCTTCTTGGGGTACTTCAAGGCCCCGGACAAGACGGCCGAAGCCATCGACGCGGACGGGTGGCTCCATTCCGGCGACATTGGCGT